GTTAGCATAAGTCAGTTAAATGACGAAAAATTAGGTGTCTATTTACTTGTGACCACTCAGTGTACATCCAAAGAAAGAAGTCTAATGGAGTGATGTCTGGTGAACATAAAGGCCAAAGAATTGACCCACCCTAACCAATCCATTGCATTGTGTTTTTTCTGGCATGGTTGCCATTTTAAGGGATAACACTACTCACTGGAGTGAAAAAAAAAACATGACAATAAAAACTGTTTGAGTTGAGCTACAGCATGTTGAAAACTGCATGGTTGTATTTTTTTAGTTATTTAAATACTAAATTTTGAAATAGGAGAGATAATTTTGGGCCACCTTGTATTTTAAGTGACATTCATCTATTCAAACATCTGATACTATTAGCTTCAAGTAAAATTAATCCAACTTTTGATTTATTTAGATTTTATATTTCTAAATTTTATACATTTCTAGCTGATTGTGAAAATATTTAGAATTCTTTATTTATTATTGATGGTAGTGTCAATTTTATACATTGTTTTACCAGTGTTTGACAAAAATGCAATTCTTTTAAACTGTTTCTAGGGATGGTGTACCTGTGTAAACCAAATTCATCAGGACTTAAGTCACTAATAGATGTGCTTTATTTGCCCTACAGTGACATAAGAGTAAGTTATTTGTTATTTCTGTTGATAAAAGATGGTATTGTATGTGATGTCATATACATCATTAGATGTTATTGACAGATGTATTTTTACTCTCACCTTTGTGTTTTTGATATAAGGCCTATATTTTGAACTTCATAATTTATAATTATTTTTGCTGAAAGCCCAAAGATTTTAAACAATGTTTGCACCAAGTTTTTTTAAATTTTAACCTTACTTATATTTTTAGTTATTATACAAGATTAGCAATACCCAAGCATGTCTACCATGTTAAAAATTTATATAAAAAATATTTTTGCACCCATTCTAAAAGAAACATGCATTTTTTATGAAAATGAGTTATTAAAATTTTGTATATTGTGCTTTTTTTTAATGTGCTGTGTGTGTATGTAACTTTTAACTTTGTATCATAGAGAAACATTATGGATCTGTTGTTTGACCTGTTTTGTCTACCATCACCTGAGTTGACAGATGATTTTTCTGTGGCTATTCTATCAGCTGGTAGGTGTTTTATTATATTGAAGAAAATAATGTCAGTATTGTGAAAACGTTTATAATTCTCAAGAACAGTGGTAATGACACATTTTGAATGATATTTTTCATCCTTAAATTCAATGATAAACCATGTTCATCATGACAAAAAGTAAGTTCTTGAAGTATTCTTGAAGTAATTAATTCATTTTAATAAATCAGTGTTGCATTATTCTAACTTCCTCAGTTATTAACTGTGTAATTGTGAAAGAGAAATCTGTCCACTGAGGGAAATGTTTCTTTCAATGTGATGATGTGTTAGTTGTTAAAATATACCATAAAGTTGAACTTTAATAAAGAGTTATACAGATATGAATAACATCTAGACAAATTCTAGATATAAAACAAAATCTGGAATGCTAAATTTACTACTGTTAAATCATCTCACAGAAGATTGATTTTCTGACTCCAGTTATTGAAGGTAGTCATTTTTCCATTCTGAACTTCTTCTAATACAAATCTTCAAACTTTTTCCCTTAAAAACATATCTATTTATAGTTGTTGTTTTTTATTATTATCATTATTTCACTCCTTCCTTCATTTAAGACAAATTACTCTTCCTTCAACTGAGATTGTCAACTCTGGACAGCTCCACCTAGTAAGTTTCACGTTGGTGGTTGTTTAGAACTATTTCCCATTCTTTTCTGTCCCAGCTGTGATTTTTTTTCATGTTTATCATTGGTTTGAGCTCATGTAAACATGTTTTCTTGGTAATTTTTGTGGAGCTGGCTTACTACCATCATTCAAATTAACATAGGAAACTCATAGAAATCAGTATTTATTTATTTTCTTGAAAGTTGAGAAATTAATGTATGTTAACATGTAATTAATGCTTAATAGTCAATAATTTGAAACATTATTTTGCTATACCTCTTATACAAGCACATTCACACAAGGCAGAATGTTGAAACTAGCCCTCTATAAGAACTTTTAAGTATTTCAAATACAACATTTGGAATTTATTGTTGTTTTTTAAATACAAGAATTAAAAGGTAAGACCACTGAAAAACTAAAATAAAAGTATGATATGCTTTGGCATAGTTTTAAACTTTCCTAGCTGATAGTGCTTTCATAACAATGAAACTGCTCTTCAGCCAAGAAACTTTTTAAAACTCAAGAGGCATTCAACTCGATGTTCTCATTTTCAGTACATTAACTATCATACCACTGTTGAGTGACGAAGTACATTATTAACCCGTTATCAACCAGTATATCCAGGATTGTTTGAACAACATAGCGTCTTTATTTATATGTGTACATATATATATATATATATATATATGTCTGTTTATGTGTATTTGTTTACCTATATCACCATTTGTTGATTAATATCAAAGATGTTTTGTTCAATGTTTAAAATGGGATTATACCCATACAGTGTTCTCATTTATGTTAAACATGGTAAAAGAGGTTGCCATTTACATTAACCCTTTTTTATCTTTAGATCCTTCTGTTATGCAACATTCATGGCAGTTATATGAAGGGTTTGTAGCAGCTGAAGGAAGAGATATACTTCCTCATGTAGCAAAGCACAGGTAAGATATATCCAGTGTCCTAAACACTTAATAGTATAGTTTGGGGAAGTTAATAAAATAAAATACCAAATAAACATGTTTTTTCTTAACAGATAGTGCTCATTTTTGCATTGTTTTTGTATGTGTTACATTTTATTGATTTGAGATACATAATTGTAAGCATTTTATGAGAAAACAATTGCTCAGTTGGTGTCAGCAAGAACTTTTGTACTCTTTCAGCATGGGCTCGGTCCCAGGGACCGACCTTGTAACCATTTTGTGCTTGTTATAGTTTTCGTGCTATAACTTTTGAATTAAATTAGTAAGTGAATGTTAACAAAATTTGGCAGGTTATCAGTAAACATTACAATGCTTTCATATGCAAAATATCAAATTCTTTTAATAAGTCTTAAGGTTTATAAAGCAATGTTTTTCTCGTGTCTATTTTTTCTTTTTGCATGTTGCCTATCT